ACCGAACCTACCATGCCTGCTTCGTGCGAGCGTGTGAGTCGACACCCTAAACCCGGCAGCCTGAGAGGGAGCATCACAGGTCTCAGGATCCTGAGCATGTTCAGCAGGAAGTTTGCGAAGCCTTGGGCTTCGGGATCTGCGGTGCTCTGCCAAAAGCCGAAAGCGTGACTTCCCTGGAGCCGAGAGGCCCCGCAACCTAAGGCTTAAGGCGAGAAGCCCCCTTAAGCCCCGAAGCCCTATGAGAGCCTATGAGCCCCGAATCGATTCTTCAGATCTCTCGGCTGCTAAGGTGGTGTTGGGGCTTCTTGGCGTCCTGGCCGCTGTGGCCCTTGCCTGTGCCGAGGCGATCCGATCATACGCAAACACGCAAACATACATGCCTGCCTTCCTACCTACGTACAGGGTACCCAAGATCCAAGGTTCCAAAATTGCTCGTAGGACTTCCCACGAAATTTTACGTACTGGCCAGGTCGGTAGATAGATGGTAGTTAGATCAGATACACATATATATATACATACACATACGCATACGCATACACATACACGTACACGTACACGTACACGTACACATACACATACACACACACACACGCACGCATACATGAACATACATACATACATACATACATACATACATAAATACATACATACAGGGCGTGAGTGAGAGAGAGAGAGAGAGAGAGACGGAGTTTGCAGACTTCAAGCACATTGCGTCTAGACAAACCTCCGTTGCCGAAGGGTTGCAAGCAATTTTGCGCTCGTCGTCTCTGTGCCTGTCCTGCAGCATTGCCAGGGGAGAGGGATGTGGCTGGCGCCGGAGGCGAGTCTTCCTTGTGTTTACGATGGTAACGTTTAGGGCATATTTGGTTGCTTGACAGTCTCGTCGCAAGCAGTTGGACAAGCATGTTGAGGCAGGAGGGGCCACTCTTTCATGGTGGCTGAGCAGCAACCACCAGCCACCAAGTAGCCCAACACTGTGTGACTGTCATGCTCTACGAGGTGTTGCTGGTGCGGCTTACAAGAACATGCAGAAGCAGCCGCAGTGAAGTGAGTTGCAGGTAGCCGCTTTTGTGCTGATGACATATGTCTGGGGCTTGGAGATGTGCCGGAGCAGGATATAATCGGCCCTACCTACCCCTTATTTTTCCCGACAGTGGCCTGACACTGCAGCTGACATATGCTACCATGCACCGTGGATTACCCAGTACGACGCCAAGCGCCATAATAATTCCTAAACCGGGTCACCCGAAATCCTGAAACCCTAATGACTACTAATTCCACAAATGCCAGGACCGGGCATTCTTGGCCGAAAGCCAACAGGGAATGTCTCAAACATCATTATCGTAACGCGAGACTAGTCTAGAAGGTACCCCAACATGCAACCCCAAAAGGCTACAGTCTGGAAGGCATCCCTTTTGAATCGGACCGTATACTGCTGAAACCAGGCAAGACGGCCCTGGTTTTGCACCGCACGAATAGTCCAGTAGGATCCATGTGACAAACCCCTGACATCAAGTTCCTACAGCCCGAATCCGGTAACCCTAGCTGCTAGCTTCTTGAATATTGCGTAAGGGGTGTCTTTAATATCAGCTTCCTGTGCTGAGGTCTTGCTGTGGCATCATTGGAGTCTTCGCCTCCCGAGAAACTGGGTCGGCGTCCAAGCGGCTCCTCAGGGTTTCGGGATGCAGAGGAGATGCGAAGAGTCTTGGGATGTTCAGGATGAGGGTGGAGAATTTCTGGGTTTGGAGATGGTTGAGATCAGAAACAGGGAAAGCAGATATTTTAGGATGTTCAGGATCATCCTGGGCACGCTTAGGGTTTCGTGACGCTCAGGGATACTTCGGGTCTGTGGATGTTGAATGCTTAGGCGGTAGGCATGGAATCCCAAACCCTGGAGAGACCAGAAGCTAGAAGCCTGAATAATTTCCAATACCATTCCTCAGGGCCGATACCCAGAAATCCTATTCGAGCAAGCACCCCCTCCCATATTCCAAAGCCTCTTTTTTCGGACTGGATTTTCCCCAAACCCTAAACCCTAAAGTCCCAGAATTTCCTCGCGGGAGGCCCCAGAACATGGGGTGCAGGGATCCTTTGACGTCGAACATGGCTTATAGGGTTTGGGGTCTAGGGCTATGCTGAAAACGGGGGGAGGGGTTTAGGGTTTAATTAGGAGTTTCAAGGTTCAGGGTTTAGGGTTGAGGGGTTGCCTTAACCAGCCAGAGGTCAGCTTTAACCAACCAGAACCTACTTGTCCGTATGAGTTCTTATCAAGGTGTCTGTCAAGGGGCCTGCGATGGACCGTGCTGGCAAGTAGGAATTGGTAGGTGAAGGTAATTACTTAGGACCTCGACAGATGTGCAGCCCATAGCTTATTTAGCTATGTGTTTGTAACATGCACCTCTTATATCACATTCATAGTCAGCCTGCATTGCCTTGCAAGAAGCACACGTAGCCGCTAACAGCTAGCATGATGTCAATCGCAAAACAGATTACCAGGGCCAGTCAACCGAGGCTCCAGTTTCTTCAGGTTGATTAAACGTTACAAATTTCTACCCAGCGGCCGGAGCCACCACCAGGTCTCGCGTGCAAAGGAAATAGAATGAAACCCTCATGAACCCTGCAAGCCCGAAGAATTCTAAACCCCTGGTTTCAAGCCCTCACCAATGACTCACCACTAGGCTCGGGGGCTCTAGATCCGCAATACCCAAAACCGCAGACCTCAATAACACAACCCTTATCCAGGCAAGCCTCCAACAGCGCCTCGTCACCATGGCCACAAGGCCGAGCTTCAGAGTGGTTTCGGGAGTGATTTGAATAGCTTCAGGTTATGGAGCGGGGCTACGACGGACATTTCGGCCCATCCGCTTCTGACTTCTGAGCTATAGCTGGTGCTGCCAGTGCAATATCACAGCGCAGCAAAAAGCCCATACTACCCTTAGCTTGTGCTTAGAACCCCTTTAAAGGAACCCGAGTTGAACCCTAAAAAAACAGGGATTTGGAGTGCTGCCCGCCGCTTCTTCGAACGCCGCACTGCGACTAGTAAAGCACCAGGGCCTGAGGCTAGTACTGGCTGTTGGCAGGATCCTTGCTCTCGTCATAGTAGTTTTATGTGTATGTATATATATATATACACATGCGTTGTATGTGTATGTATGTATGTATGTATGTATGTATATATATATATATATGTGTGTGTATACATGTATTAGAGAATACTATAGTAAATTCTAGTATATCACGACATCGAACGAGTGACACCTGCCATGCAGTGTCTGCGGACGTTGCCAAGTGGGAGCCAAAAATATTATGCTATACCATGGCTTTTCTTACTTTGATTCTCCTCCTGCCGGCAGCGAAGCGGGCGGGCTCCTGATGATTTCCTGCCCTTGACAGGCGGCACCAAGCTGCTTTGCAGCTTCGCCTGGAGGTCGACTGCAGCCCCAGTAGACGGTTTAGGGTTTACAGGGTTTAGGGCACTATAGTTTAGGGCTTATAGGGTTTAGGGCACTATAGTTTAGGGTTTATAGGGTTGAGGGCACTATAGTTTAGGGTTTAAAGGGTTTAGGGCATTATAGTAGTAGCAGTAGGACGAACGAGCAGCAACAAAGTACTGTGTGGGGAGCTGTTTTAGGGAAGCGTTAGCAGCTTCCAAAGGCCCAAACCCGAAATGCTAATACCCCAAACTAACTCTCTCTCTCTCTCTCTCTGTCTCTTTATGTGTGTGTGTACTTTGTTATATGGTTTGTTTATTCTTTCTATACAAAAACATACATAATAGTAATATAATATTAAAAATCATAAGCATAACAATAACAATAACAATAATAACAATAACAGTATATTTGTGTGTATGTGTATGTCTGTATGTATGTATGTATGTATGTATGTATGGATGGATGGATGGATGGATGGATGTATGGATGTATGGATGTATGGATGTATGGATGTATGGATGGATGGATGGATGGATGGATGTATGCATGTATGTATGTATGTATGTATGTATACATGCAAAGGATGTATGTATATGTATATATACATTTACAAACACACACACATATATATATATATATATAAATATACGTATGAATATGTATATGTATAGGTATGTGTATGTATATCTATACAGAGACAGAGAGAGATGTCATGCACTCTTACCGTAGTTCTAAATTCAATCACCACGGCAGTAAACAAGCGCCGCCTTAACCGCGTGAGGACAAGGGCTATTCTGAGAGGCTGGCGCACCTGAAGGTGCCGATTGTTGCTGTCTTGGTTTCGGGTTTCAGAGGCTGAGGGTTTAGATTGAAGGTTCCGGGTGGTTCTCAACATTGTCGAAGAATATCTCTCCAGATGGTCCGAATCCTTGCATCACTCCTGCGTGTCGTCAGCATATAGATAGGGCGCCAGTCATGTGCCGGGCTCTTCTTTCTATGGGCAGTTCCCAATTTTGTCACCGCCTTGCGCAGCTTCAGAACGTAGTTACGGCGCAGCAAGCATCAAACTCGGCCTGCACATCTGCACAGGAAACGGCCTTTGTCCTCTTGCTCATGTTGCGATGATTAAGAGAGACAAAGGGAGAGACAGGGAGAGCGACAGAGAGACCGAGAGAAACGCGCGAAGAAGTAGAGGCTGAACGATATGGTATGGACGGGCTAGGAGTATATGCATATACAGGCTGCAGAGCGCGAGACTGAGAGGTGGTGATGGAGGGAGCGGAGTGATACATGCTTTTGCGGGTCATCCTGCCAATACTAACATCAGAACCCACCTTAACAGTTGGAGCAGTGTTTTTCAGGGGGGTATACTATAGTTACTATAGTACAGTCGTGTATTTGACACGTATTTATAACAAGGAACCCCTTGGATCAATACTCGTGTGGGTTCCCATTGACAGAGTTCTGGTTTCAGCCTGACTCGGTTTGTAGCGGAATCGGGGTTCGGTCATGGGTTCGCTATGCGTAGCTATGATTGACGCATAGAGTGTTCCTGGTCCATCGGAGGACAACTACGACACCTCATTGGCATTTCTCTGCTTGAACAGCGCAACCGCTTCGAAGCTCCAAGCAACTTGAGTCCTTCGCTCCTCAACCTTCAGTCTTTCTCTTTTGACCTCAAGGTTTGAAAATTCCAAGCACTTTCCGCACGACCGGCTCAGGCTCTCGTGTTGGTACAGGGCGTCCAGACCGCGCAGGACTGTCGGTCCAGCTCTGCGAAAACCTGGTGACTAGGGGTTCAGGATTCAGGGTTAAGGGCCAATTCAGGGCTTAGTGCATTGCAGTATCTGCTCATGACAAAAACCCAATTAAGTCCCGTGCACACCTACTGTGCGCTGAAAACCCATTCACGGGCGTGTGATTTTCGAAGGTTCAGGGCTAGGGCAAAGACATTGCTAGGCTATACCTCTTCTCTGACACGATTCTACTGTTCGTCATCCAGCGCAGCGGGCCTGCATACACGCACGCGCACATTGCATACTCGCGTACATGCCCGCATGCATGCATGCTCACCTACGTAGAAAAGTATACTTCTGCCCATCTATCTATATATGTGTATGTATGTTTGTATACATGTATGCAACTGTATGACTACTGGCAATGTCGTGGGCGCAGGCCCCGAAGCCTACTGCCCTTATTACCAGCAAGCCGGTAGAAGTTGAGCCGAGCCATGCTCAGAACCTCGACTACCTCACTCTCTGTGCCGGCGCCTCAGATCGGATGGTGCGAGCTCATGTAAAGAGCTTAAGTAAGCGACTTCCGCCTTTCAGCTCGGATGTTTCTGTTTCTTAAATGAGAGTGGAGCTTCCTTTTCCTAGAGGCCCGAGAACTCCACGGATGCGAAGCCCAGGCATGTCTGGCAGGGGTTGAAGAGCCTAAACGAGCAAGATGCTCAAAAGTTGTAGGGACTCTTAAACAGGCACCCCTCCTACCCTTGCGACAACTGAACCTTGAAATTTGAGGTCCAAGCAGAGGCCTTGCGAAACGCAGCGGCCAAGTGCGATGCGTCCGGAGCTTCAGCGAGGGTTCTCGAGAAAGGACTCCCGACAAACAAGTTTACTTCCCACATCTTCTCTTGCCCTATAGAAGAGGGCAAGTTCAATAACTAGCCATCATTTTCGTTCATTCACTGCCTCTCAAGAAACTTCATTTCAGAGGGCAGACGCACGTCTTTTTGAAGGTTAAGCAGAATCGGCCTTAGACAAATCCTGGCTTGGTAGTTCTCGGACTTGTTAGTTTTCAGGGCTCCAGGACTTCAGGGCTTGATGGTTTCGGATTCAGTGCAGTGAGGGATTGAAGGTTTAAGGTTAACGTTTGTGTTTAGGTTTCGCTCAACATCTCTCAACGTCAACTGTGTACCTTCAGTTAGTGCAAAGCCAGGCTAGGGGCAGGTTTCGTTGGATTTGGGCATGAACCCTGTGTAAAAATGGCTCAACAATTGGTAATTAATACTATTCCTTACAGTCTTTATCGTTCTGGCCTACTACTAATAACGGCTCCCCATATCACAGGTCTGCCAGAGCGTCACGGACTTGCAAGCACCAGCTCTCGTGGCAACTGATTCAGGAAACTTTTGGGTTCGTTGGGACATATTATGACAGTACTATTTCAGAAACAAGATAGTATAATGAACATGTGATAATAGGGTTGTGATAGATAGCAGTATTTACAGCGGCTATAAGGCACTACTGCCAGGATGTGTCGAATAACCGTGAGCCGTTTTGGTTCGTAGAACGGTACCTCGCATGGCCGAAATCTGCAAGCTGCCCGAGTGCGCGAAAGCCACGAAAGGGGCTCCTCGGCACTGTTCGGGGCAGTCGCGCAGGAACAGAGAGTTCGGATTGCTCCTGTATCATCAGACTGTGCCGCCAGTCGTTCTGCATTCTTATCGGAGTCTCACTTATGTAACGTTCGCTGAAGCTTCCATGTCCTTTGGTCATGGTCGTGCATACAATAAGACAAGCTTGAATTGGTTTGGCTTCCCGTGGTGTACAGGTCTATCGAGCTGCTGAACATATAGTAAGATCAGTGCGCGTGTGTATGGGTAGGTTTGAGAGTGCATGTGCGTGTGCGCGCACGTGCATTTTTGGCAGTCGTGAAGTAAAGCATGCGCAGAAGGGCCGATTCCCTATTCCAGCGCATGCTGGTCTGCAGGTGGGATGTTCAGCAGCCGGCCATCAGAAACACGGAGACGAACAACAGACATCCCTTGCTGCGGGATCTTCATCTTAGCAGTAGGAGTGCCTCTCGGCTTCCTTAGCGGCCTTCGCGCCATGCTGTTGGTGAGCCGAGTCCGAAGAATGACGTGGGATCTATTGGATGTCAGAGTGAGGGGCTATTCCGTCCATCATCCTACGGTTCCATGCTTCTACATGTACTTCTGCGCAATCACTTGCAAGCTCTCAAAGTAAGTACTCGTCTTGTCGGGTTGGGCATGTCGGTTCTGAAGATGACGAGCCCGAGGCCCTTTCAACGTTGCATTTGTCTTCCTTGCCCAGAAGAGTGTAGTATACAGTCAGATACACATCGTGTTTCCCTCGCAATGCATGTAAGAAGCACAGTTGCCTTCAACATCTTCGAAGTCTGGGCAGCAATTCTTCCCAAAGCCCGTACGCTCCCAAGGCAAAAGGGCCTCTATTGCTGTTGTGGTTTGCCATGGTGTTCTAGTGCTTTTGTTGTTCGCGCACGCTGTCCTCAAACTGCTCCCGGTTGTTGACGCATAGTTGATGTTTGCGGATTTTGGTTTTCTATTACATTGTCATTGTCACCTTTCCGCACGAGGTATCAGATTCGCAGCATCCCTGGACCATGCGTACTTTGAACCCTATAGGCTGCGGAGCCACAGTCATGGCTGTGTCGGCCAAGGTTCGCGGGACTTCTGGCGGGAGCCCCAGGATTTGGGGCAAAGTTTGGGTAGCTGAAAAGTCAGAATCCGAACATTCCATGCCCTCTAGAGACCTTGAAGCGCTACATATATACACCTTACTCCGTCTATATAGACCTTCCTTACTCCGTGATCAGGAATCGCGACTCCTGTATGTTTCAAATCCAAGCCGGTTCCATGTGCAGAGGAACCCGACTAAATTACCGTTTGGCTTTTAGGGCCTAAGCAGTTTGAGTGCCACATGTTCACCCGATCGAGGTTTACGCCGAGCGGGAAGGAAACCCCCACTTGATACTGGGGCTGCGGGACGCTGATGGCCAGGCCCAGTCGGTTAGCTTGTGGTTGGAAGGTTCATGCCTAGCTGCAAGCAAGCCTGTAGAACAAGTTTTAGCTGGTCGGCATGGCATCATTGTATTTGTGTAACTAAGCTACCCGTCAGCCTTTCAGTATCCGACGGCGATTGCACAAGTCCTGATGCAAAAAAGTACCCAGTAGGATCAATCTTGTTGACCTGCTTTTCCAAGTCTTGGAAGGACTGGACCTTCAACCGAGCCTCTGATAGTGTACCATGCAGTGTAGAGGGAGGCCCTGAGACCTAAACCCGGGTTTCTTAGGGTTTTGCGACAGCGTAAACCGGGGGTTATTCGAATTAGGTAAAAGATCCTTTGTTTCGGTAGCTTCTGCTGGGCCTTGGGGCGCCTTTAGCAAACTCCGATTAGTTCCCGCTACAATTGTTATTGTTGTTTGTATATCGGAAAAAACCTTTTTGGTGGTTTCCATAATTAGGCGGTCCCTGTTGGGGGGTCCTTATAGGCGGATTCTACTAATATGGGCGTCTATATTGGGGCCCCAAAATATGGAAACCCCATATACATCTATATGACTATGTTTCGTACCCTGCTATACAGCGCCCTAAACTCTAAACTCTGAGAGGAAGGCTCACTGTTTGCACCTCGGCTGCGCCTGGGACCTCGCCTGGATTGTCCGAGTTTTTAAATTAAAAAGCGTATAAGAGTCTGTTCTTAATTGAAGACAGGAGAGCGGCCGACCTCCAACCCGAACTCGAAGCCACCAGACCCATCCAGACCCCAAGCCTTGAGCCACCGACACTGAAGGCCAAAGAACCAAAACCCCGAGCCCCATGGGCCCCAAAAACCCTACTCCGCTCTTCTCCTCCGTATGGTTCTCCCGTCGCCCCTGCGGCCCTGAAGATTTGTAGAAGGACCCGAAAACAACAGTGAAGCCCGAGTTGCGATAGACTAAAGCCCTGAATCCAAAAGGCCCCCAACAAGCAGTCGACGGAGGGCTCGCCTCCGACAGGTCTGCGGTGCGGACTTCGCCGTCAAAAATCAGCCGCATCTCAGCCGCCCGAGGTCGAATGCTTCTAGGACCCTCGCATCTATAGGAAGAAAGGTCATAGAATGGAGGGTTTGGGGGTTAGGGTCTTAGTCTTTCTCTGCTGCGATCTAAAGGGCTGAAGGCTTGATTTTGCTTTGGGAGTCTTGAGCTTCGGATGCCGATCTCTGCATGTCCTTCCTGATCCGAGATAGGGACAAGTACGGTCGAAGCAGCCGAAAACTGCCGTCATGGCCCTCTAAGTATGGTAAGACGCCGCTTCCCTGTCATTTGGGCTTCCATGCTTGACCCCTTCGAAGCCCTCACGATGGAACCTCCAAGTGATCCCGCATACTCAATCACCAAGACTTCCTAGGATTCGTCATGAACCTAACCCTAAACCGACGATGAGGTATCTCTACCTTTGCCCCGCCGGCTCGGCTGCACTGGAAAGGGCGTAGATCCAATCAACATTCCATTGTATGGTCCCGTAATCCTAAACTCAGTGTGATTGTGCTGCCAAAAGAACCCACAAACGACCTACAAGCAAACCGGCAAGATGAAAAGTGAGCTCGGGGTTGCGCGACTGCTCTTCAAATTCCAGCAGTCCAAAAGCTTCAGGAGCTAGGGCTTTAAACTTTAAAGCTCGGGCTATCCTACCTGTACCCGTCCAGATCTCCTGGTCCAGTCTCCGACGGTTCCAGGCTCCAGTTGTCCTGACTCCGAGTGGCGTGCGGTTAAGGTCTTGGTGTTCAGGGTTTAGGGTTTTTCCTGGCGAGACGTTGCAAGCCAGTTGGAAAAAGCGTTTAGGGTTAAGTGTTGAGGGTGAAATCTTCCAGCGATTGCATAGAAGCAATTTGCTCTTCCGTGGCATCATTGCACTGAGCCCTGAATGGAACGCCTGTAGAAAAGCGGCCGCGATGCAGTAGCGATCGCTGTGTGAGAGCTTCTCTCATTCCGCCCAAGATGTGTCAGTCTACTTGTCGAATGCGCCTTTCCGTAGTACAGATTTACCCAGGCCCTTTACCGCGACTCTGGCTAAGGATGCAAGCAACAACTTCTTCATGAATGCGGGTCATTGTGTCGAAGCTTGCCCCGGCCTGGCTTCGGAGAAGACGCCCTGTGGCTGCATCCGGAAGCCCAGCCTGAGAAGTTCTGAGCTTCGGTTCCCTCGACTCTCCCAAATTGTTTCTCAAATTTTCTATCCGATTCTATCCGTATCAGGGATGCATGTTACTCGTAGTTAGCAGCTGTCGATTTGACAAAAAATCGATTGAACTGCATTGAGGGCCGGCCCGGTTAAACCGCAAGCCCCAATCCCATTAAAAGAACTGTCGGACGACTTTAGGATGTCACAGGCAGCAACAAAGATGTCTGACCATATTGCACGGGCTTCATGAGCTGCTTGCTCATTCGGAAGGACAAGTGATATCGGAGTCCACGGGCAATTCCCATCCTTCCCGCCCGGTACTACTGAGGCAGCCTTCGCTGTTCCTTAGTCTGGGGGCTTCTGCGCGGTTATTGCGGTATCATCCGATGCAGGGCATGGCTTCTCGCTGCCTCCTTGCAGTCGGCAGATTTGGCAGTGGGAGCCTAGCAGGTTCTGGGGAAGCCGCAGCCGGCCTGACACAGAGAATGACGCAATACGCACAGGCAACCAGAGACCCGGACACTCGTACCTAAAGGAAGGAAACAGTCGCTTCAACTCAGGAGACTCGGGTCGTAGAGGTTGTTATGGTTGCCTCTCATGAATCGGCCCGCAGAGCTTGTTTCATAATCCTGTCGCCCCTGGCTCCAGAACTAACCCCTGAATCCCAAACCGCAATCCGCAAAGTCCATCCCCTGACAATTCTCTACCTTCCAGCCGAGGCCGTGTCCTAAGGGCTACGCCTCCCTCCCGTCTGAAACCAATGACACCTTGTTGCAGTGATCAGTGTCCTGGGGAAGGGTCGCCCTGTGTAACTCAAGCCAGAATATGCATTACCTGCCGTACGAATCTAGCATGATTCTAGGGCTATGCGATAAACGGCCTACTATTCGTAGATTGTAGTGGTTTGAGGCTGCAGATACATGTTTGGAGCCGTAGGCTATGAACAAATATGAATTGCTCCCGGCCTGTGTTTGGTTTTGCTGCTCTTTGTTCCCGAGCTGTCTGCCTGCCATAGCACACCACTGTGCACCATCACCAGGCGGTATCAAAAGCTTTGCGAACGTGCAATGTGCTTCATGCGACAATCTCTAAGTCCACTACCTATCTAATTGCACAAGTTCAAGTTTGTATTGATTACCGCGACCCGTTCTACTCCCTTCAGCCGTTTGTTCTACGACACTGGGATACTGTCATTTGCTCCGTTATGACTATTGCCACACTGTTGGGAGGCAGCTTGTCCATAGCTCCGAACAAATGATATTAGTCATACCGCGGCAGTTCTTGCTTAGTCTCCTAGATTGCAGTGGTTGTTGTTATTGGTACTGGTTCTTTATCTGCTGCTGCTGCTGCTGCTGCTGCTGTCACATCACTGGTTCCTCTTGGTCCTAGTGCGGTCATGGTGCTGGTTGTGTTGCTGCTGGGGCTGTGGCTAGTGGCTCCCCGTAGTCGTTTTTTCTGCGCTTGGGCTTTGGTGCTCTTGTCTGTTTCTGCTGTAAGCCAGGGGGGGACTGATGTCGCTGTGCCAGTGCTGATTTTTGCATAACATCCATCTGTATGTTTGTGTTCTAAAAACAGGAATCCAACTATACACGAAAAATGTATTATAAGGAATACAGTATGTGTATTATATGCATACACGCACACACACACATATATATATATATACATCTGTGCATGTCGTTTCTGTGCCAGCACATAAGAGCACGTACGCGCACTCACACTGTCATCATGTTTGTATACATTGCGACAAACAGCCTCGTAGAATGCCCGCCGCTGTCCTCCCATATCACCGTCAATACACGGCAACTTGTAGATCACAGATCTTCGGGTGATTGGAGACGTGTGATACGCACTCTCAACTTATGTACATTTATGAACAGCAGTGACGTGATGCGCGTGGTTACGCTTGTGATCTTGTAGTATGCTACATCCTGTCTTTTCCCACGAGCTCTTACATTAGCCGTGTCCTGTGTCGTGACTTCGCCTGGCCACCAAGATTTGTTTGCCTGCCGGCCAATCGGCGGACCTGCTCTCCAAGATGGAGTCGTCAGAGCTGAGTGGTGTGACTTTCCGGAAAGGTTCAGCTCCGTAGCTTTAAGCATATTGCCTGTCCAGTAGTTCAGCAGTAAATTAGTGGACTGACACCGGTCGGCGTATTCAGACCTGGACGTGGCAAAAGTTTTCAGGTCCTCATATCATGGGTGCGCCTCAACCTTTGGCCAAATTTGATCGACAGCGCACCTGCAGGGGGCCGCAGGCTGGCATGCTTTGTCTTTCCCTTTACGGAAATGAGTTGACGAATGTAGGGCTCCTTCAAGCTAAAGGGTTACCATAGGTTTTGTAGCGGTTTGTACAAGAATTCCCAAAAGGTGTTACTGTGTACATATATGTGCATTCCTCGTTGCCCAAATGATAATACCTGTCCCCCTTCGATCCTAGTTGTGCTGCAGGTGTCATTTGGTAGCCTGCAGCCTGAAGCCCACAGCCCCTAGCAAGCTCAGACCGAACCTGCCATGCCCGCCGGGCGCGAGTGTGTGAGTCGAAACCCTCAACTTCCTAAACTGAGACTTTAAACTATACACTTGAACCCTAAACCGTAAATGTGTGAGTGTCGAAATCCTAAACCCTGAACCGCCTGGCTTGTCCGAGTTGTGAGAGCGTAAACCCTGAACCGCCCAGGCGATTGCTTTGTCCCACTTGTATACCAATCTCTTTCGGGCCTGGCCCCTCCTGCTCATCGCTGCTCCGCTGCCACTTTGGCCAACAGAGGGGGGCCAGGTCCTACAGTCTTAGGGTTTAGTGTTTAGTGTTTAGGGTTTAGGGTTCTTATTGACCTTTTGGAGTTCGGCAGCCTTTTAGGTTCTCAAAAGTAGCATTTTCAGTTAAGTCGTGAAGTCGGGTCACCAGCAGAGCTTCGACACGTAAGGGTATTCGGGTTGAAGTCCTGTTGCGCAGCCCTCCATCGCAGATAAGAGGATCTTGCGGTTTTGGGGATCGAAACCCTCGGCTACAGCATCAGCACGCGGCACAAATCGACATTAACCCGCAGCAAACGTACCTGTGATCATAGGTTATGTTAGATGTTCAGAGCACCAGGTTTACTTTTTTTGCTACAGTTTCGGTGCCGACTGGACAAAGATATGAAGTCAAACCTCAGCCTTCTGCTAGAACTTCTCGGGCACACCGTGTATGCATCCCGTTTGTTAGCTGCTAGCTTGGGCACGAAACCATTAGAGCATCAGAGATGCTTGCTCGCTATGAATCCTTTTGCTTCCAGTTGGTGGAACATTAAGACGACAGTTTGTTCCGGCTTTGCATGAAAAGCAGACAAAGACAAAGATGCCCCATAGACGATCCGAAGAACCAAGAACCAATGGCCGTTCAATCAATCCCGTCTCTTCGTTTCCGATTCCTTTCACCGTGTGCACGAAGAATTCCTCATGGCCTTCGCAAAATCGAACTCTACACCTCAAGCTCCCAAGAGGGAACAGCCCAGATTTGCGAGGCTTAGCGCGGCCATCGGCTGCGCCTACTTGAGGCAACACCTTAATGCAGTGAGTTTGTGTTGGGTATCCTTGCAGCTGTTGCCGCGCATGGCTTATTGCTATTCGGCCTGCTTTTTCATCTGTACACACGACTCCCACTTTTTCGTTCTAGTACGGTGGTTCTGAAAGTGATGAGGGTGATGAAACCGATTCGTTCGTAGGTTTTGCGTGGGCAAGACGTCTAGCTACGCAAGATGTTCGCAGTGAATTGTGGACCGATTATCCAGGATCTCGATTGCCTGGTGTTTGCAGTTCGGGCAAGCAGTTGGTATGTGATGTATAGAGACTATAGAGACTGTAGTCAGATGTAGGCCAGCATGTGTTTCGTTGCACCTACGTATAGCTATACACGCTATAGCCTCACCCCTAGCCATGTTGGCTTAAGATCTCGATAGTACTCGCCGCGGCCAAGCCCTTCACCGAAGTGCTTGCATCATGGCCTTCTGCACTGCCTGCTGCGCTGCCCCGGACAAGTCTGAGCTTGACTTTGGCTCGAAGCCGCTGGTGGATGCCAAGGGAGTGCTGGACAAATCGCCCGACCAAGTTGTGGTGGAGTCCGGCATCTTCGAAGCAAAGCTTCGCTACGAGGGTCGTTCGCACGGCTTGGTGATCGACACGGCCAACGACGAGCAGGCCATCATCAAGGATGTTACGGGAGCCGGCCTCGTTTGGAACCACAATGCCGCAGAGCACCAGCAGATCAAGACAGCCGCCATGGTCTTGAAGGTGAACGGTGAGGCTGTGACCGGTGAGAATGTGCACAGGAAGCTTGCTGATGCCGGGCCGGAAGCAACGCTGACCCTGCAGAAGGCCGTGGAGAGGAACTTGGTCCTGCACAAGCCTGGCCAGCTGGGAATCACCGTGAAGTTTGCGAAGTCTTCCTACGGAATCTGGATCGCGACTTTGGCTCCAGGACTGGTGCAGGATTGGAACGAGAAGAATCCGGACCAGACGGTGTCTGTCAATGACCGTATCGTCTCTGTCAACGGAGTGACCGGCCAATCCCAAGACCTCGTGGCAAAGATGCGAGAGGTGTCGGATACCATTGTTCTGGTTGTGCAGCACTACGAGTGAGTGGGGACGCAGGTCTCAGCACGGCTTAAGGCCCAGATCACTTCAAGAGTTCTGATCTGAGACGTCTTTGAACTTCTTTGGTCGCCGGCGAGTGGGGCGAAAATCGAGTCTTTCCAGGATCCGTGTCTTTTCAAGAGCTAGAGCATCGTGCACCATGGTGTCGAACGCCCAGTTCTTGCCTGCAAGCACCGCTCCCCGTGTTATTTCCGATGCAAGGAGTGCCCGCGATATAGACTCGACTTTCCTCGCAACTTTGTGCAGCACAATGTGCTCCGCTGTTACTGTCCTTCTCATTCCGTCTCCTGCCCGTATGGACACATGCCCGCCCTCAAAAATCCGGGTGTGAGCGCCGAAAGTCTGCGAACTCTCGAGTTCAGATGCAGCAGTGGGCCCTCGCACGGCCCTGCACCCGAATCAGCCCGTCTACGATAAATCTTCGACTCACAGGCTGGTAGCTGACAAGTTCCTAAGTGCTCGTCGCCCGAAGCGCAGTTAGGCGGAGAGTAGTGTGCTGCTAATTGTGTGGTTTGAGCCTCATACACCCGTCGGTTGACTGCAAATCCGGTACTCCGGTGCTTGAATTTCCAGGCTTCGACCCCTGACATGCAAACCGAGCAAAGATGGCAGAGTCAAGCAACCATCAGACCTGAACCAGGGACGAGAATTGCTAGGCCCTGCAAGTCATGGTTCGAACTCTTGCGTTCTACACTCCCGAAAGGTTTCTCAAAGCAGAGGCCCAGGTGTGCCTTGCATGCAATGGGAAGCTTTGGCACCCAATTTCGTCTTACTGAGGATCACCGAAGACACGTAGAAACGGTGTGTGGAGAGAAGACACGTGTTAAATTAACTACATCGGCACTAGGTGGTGGCACTCCTGGCCCTAGGGAAGGATCGTAGCCCGCACATGTGCAGAACATCTTACTCGGGTGCCGACCTGGGCATGGAGGTGGCAGTACAGGACCACGCAACAACGGCAGACAACCCCACTGAAGCTCGCCTACCCGACCGCCCGACTACCTATAATACCTGTGATGTGCTAAGGGTATTCTGGGTTAGCTTCATTGTGGTGGTCGCTTGCTTGTCCGTGGCGGGTGTCTACTACCTGCAAGAGTACGACAGGACATGCGCACGGAATTCGAGCTGTTCTTGCATGTTCTTGCTTCATGGCTGTGGGTTCAGCCTCAGGGTGCCGCTCATTCTGCCTTCCCAAACATGTTTGTGTGTCTGATCTTGGGTCCTGGCAACCATATTGTCTTCGTCATCATCACCCTGGCCGTCATGATCGGGATTCGTTCCTCCACCACCACCACCACCACCACCACCACCACACTCGCCATCATCGCCATGATGGCGATCATGATAGCGATCATGATCCGGTTGACCGCAGCGCCTTTTGTATCGTGTCGACGCCCGCTTGAGTTGAGCACTCGTTGTCTGTGTTCGGACGATGTTGTCAGTGCTTTTGCATCACCATACCATTGCGTTGTTATTGACAGGACACAAATGAGGGTGTTTCATGATTGCTCTGTTCGGTCCGTTGTTTGTGGATGTGATCTTTGTTCTCGGTTATCCCTGGCGCCGCCGTCTTTATCAGGCCTGCCTCTTTCAGCATGGTCATTACCATAAGTCTTTGTGTGTTCAGGCCTTCACTTCCCAGAGTATCCACCTTTGTGCATTGGCCAGCCAGTAACAGTATAACACACTTCAAACTCTTGCTGCAAGCTTCTAACGCACTGCATGTGACTTGCATCCATTCCGCATGGACCGAAACTGTCTCACAAGCTGTGCACCTTCCTTTCTTCAATCCGGGACTCCCTTGAAAGACCTCGGCCTCAGCAGCTGTGTGAGGAGACGCAACAATCAGGATCATGAGGACGACGAGGCATCTGGGCAAAAAAACGGACTGCGCATCGGAGCCTGGAAGAGAACGAATCGTTTCGGCCTCTCAGGCCCTAGTCTTGTGGAGTGCAAGATGCGTTCCAGATTATTCGGAAGAAGGGCTTCGTCCAAGACGATCCTAACCATCTAGTAATAATACCAGTCTGCTAAAGAGGATCTCGTTTATGTCAATAGTGAAAGAGCACCCAGCAGTCCGAGCTCTACCCACCCAAGACATCTTCCCAGAGCACTAGGCTTAAGGATCCCCCCTCCCTAGTCCAAAAGCGGAGGGCACACAATGGCACCTGAAACTTGCAGCTTGCAACGGTAGCCGGGTGCTCGTGGCGCTAAGCACGAATTGTGGGATGAGGAAGCGGGAGTACTTCCCATGGCGCTGTGGCGAACACGATTTAATTAGGGCTTTTCAACTTTCCTCCGTCGCTAACCTGAACCATATATATATATATACATATACATATACATATACATATACATATACATATACATATACATATACATTATATATATATGTTTTTGGGAAGGGGCAGATTGATGAACCTGAGGCTGCCAACGGCGACCTTCTGCTGCTCGTCTCAGTGGGCTTGTCCTTGTAGGAGGAGTCTGTGGGGGCCAGTAGCTTCTTTCCTAAGGGGCTGAGTAGGTAACCTTTAACCTTTTTGGGGCTTGTATAATCCTACTATAATGAAAAGGCTAATCTTTTTTGGGCTGGGGTACTCAGCCCCTAAGTTTCAGATGCAAGATCACCTCTAGGCCTTCTGATCTGCGCCTCGTGCGCTTCGAAGCCGGCGCTGGGATGCGCTGGGGACAGTCGTGCTTTAGACACATGTGGGCAGACAGACCTGGCGGGCTCTGCAACATCAATGTAGAGAATTGTTATCATGCAAACCCGACCTAACAGACCATCAGCTGCCACCCAGCCGCACAAGCAGCAGGGCAAATTGGAGCTGAGCCATGAAAGGCTGCAAGGGCATGGCCATGCATTTGGTTGGCAGGCTCACTGAATCACATATTTGGTTCGTGATGGGTATGAACCGTTTGTATTTCGGCCAGGGTCGATGGCTGAGAGTTCCGCTTTCAAACTTCGGATCGGAAGTCAAGCCAAACAGCAGGGGCCGATCCAAATCCATGGTCAGTCCATGGCACTCAGATATGGGATTGTCGGCACCTCCCTGGCCGTCCTCACCATCCTGGGCGCGTGTTTGAGACTTGACGAAGAACAACTGCAGCTGGCTGCTTCATTACATCTCAGGAGCTCAGGAGCTCGGATGAAAACCGGAAGGTTCGTGGTGTGACACCCCACCCCATCCGCCATGACTTCAACACCAATCCCGAGAAAGCCCATATGAGGGGCGCCTCAAGCACGTGCTGTAAGTCTGCCTGCCTTTGCTGTCGGATTCCGGGTAGGCATTGCTTTACCCGGCTACCGTAGACAGTATGTGGCCTCTACAGTTTTACAGACTGCCATTATACATTGCTATGGCCAGACTTCTTGTGGTGTTCACTTGTATCAGGTTTGTTTGGTGTTGTGTGCCGGCCACCGTGCTGTTGCTACTGCCTTGCGACCACTCCCTGGCCTGTTGCCGTGTTGCGAAGCATCCGAGGAGTCGAGATAGCAGCTTGCCTTCAATGAGGGAGGCGGCCTCGATGTGTTTCCTTTGTAATGCAGCCTGTGCAATTGCTCCTGGTATTTTGGCTTTTTATCTGATGGATTCCGTAGCTTGGTACTGTTAGTCCGTGTGTGACGACCTTCTGATGACCAAGCTGCTTCATGACATAGTGTCTCAAAATCAAATTGAAACGGATCAGAGGTTTGTGAGTGCGTTGCGAACAGTTTGCCACTACCCTTGGAAGGGCCTAGCAGTTTGGAATCGACTGTTTGGCGCCATAGCTTTGTGCTGCTTCACATGCGACATGGCTCATACCTATATAGCTGATGAGTGCATCCTTGCGGCGGGCACAGTCTATTCCAGCATGCCCAAACAAAGTCTACGGTTCCATGAGCCCTGGGTCCAGGGAGAAAGACACAGAAAAAGAGAGAGAGAGAGAGCGAGAGAGAGAACGTCCCGATGACATGATGTAGACAGTTTCTGTTTTGGTGTGGGATATATACATGTGTACATCTATATATGTACATATGTGACAACTAAGAAACACATATTTGCATACATATATATATATATACCTTTTTCATAGTAGTTGCAGATACACATAATTACATATATATATATATGTATGTATGTATATATATATATACACATATACACACATGAAGGCACTTCAGAGAGACCTCGTTCAAAAGGTTTCAAAATTAGACCCAAACACGCTTTCCAAGGCATCCGCATTAGCTTTCCGTACCTTGAAGCGGCTGGAGAGTGTCTGGCAGACATGCCACCACTCATGATCCAGCCAGTGGTCGAGACCTTGAAGAAGGCAGGGTTTAGGGTTGGTTCTTTTTGGCCAAAGGGGAAGCCTAGAAGTGCCAGAGCCTTTTGCGCCCAGCTTAGCCCATGTGCTCTACAGGGCTGATATTTTGAAGCGTCGAGTGCCATATCCACATATCCAGTTGTAGATCGATTGGCTCCCCGCCTTGGATTTCAAGGGCGCAAGTCAGGGTTTCAAGATTTCGGTCGGGGTTGCAGCCGGCCGGCCTCCTTTGCAGATGCTGCTGTTGAGCCTCTTCCTCTACTCTGCATCACGGCTCTTGAGCCTCCGACTGGCGCTGGACAACGAGCTCCAGCTCGATTAGTTTAGGGTTTAGGGGTTTAGGGTTTAGGGTTGAGTCGCTGCAAAGCAGCTGCAACAAAAGGGGTTTAGGGTTTACGGGGGTTTAGGGTAGGGTTTAGGGCTTACAATAGTGAGTTCCGAAAGATGATGATCTTACTTGTCGAAGTTCCCTGGTAGAGGCTGGAGTAGACGCCACTTCGTGTTCTATGTGGACAGGAGGGGGGTGCTGTTGTTGGATCGGGGTTTTGTCGTCTAATCACAACGACGGTGGCAGAGATACTGGTAGCCACATGTGAGTTGCGAGTGTTTCGAAGCTTTGGTCCTTAAGTCATTAAGCGGCATTAAGCGTGTTGAGTCGATGTCTATTCGATGAAGATGATCGTATAGGCGTATAGGAAGTGGGTTGCACTGCAGATGTGGGATTTAGATCTCGGCAGCATCGTTTCGAAGTCCTGTCTGTCTCTGTATTTCGGGATGACCTGTGCGACTGGTGCCAAGTGGACCAAGGTCTGCCAGGAACCCCGGATCGCAAGCCCTCATCCGATACAACGAAAGCTCAAGATGAGAAGAGCCAAGAATCATACACACAACCCGACCGATATCACGTGACACTGCAGAAATGTCATGTCGAATGCTACTGTTTGAGTGGGGCCCTGGAACCTCAGCCCCTGGCACCTTCATGCGGCGGACCTCGTCAGGTGGTCTTCGCCCTCGTTGCCCCCTGTCAGCAAGCCTGCGCCTTCCGTTGAACTCTGGTGGGTGCAGGGGGGGGGGGGGGGGGGGGAAGGACCGGCCGGGTGAAGGTTTTAGGTTAAGGGCTCTGCGGCTGAGGGTGCCGACCTTCCCTTTGCATGTCGGCCACCTCAATGCATGAAGGTAGGAGGGGTGTCTAAGTCTGTTCTGAGAAACTAGGCGAGCAAGAAACTCTCGCCCAAAAGCATGCTGTCATTCGTTCGAGGCCCTGTTTTTCGTCGTGGTGTTCTTTTGGCTCGTCGAGGCCGGACGTGGGCGCAGACCTGTAGCTGCTGCCACAACCTACATCCAGCGACCTATATGATTATGTGATGGGTTACTCAGTTATGGTTATTATAAGTAGGGATAGTACCCTATTGCACGGGGAGTTGGACTTCTCATGCTTACTGAGCTGCGCAAGCCTGACACCAGGTGATGGGCTCGCTGTCGCGCTACGTTCTGGGTTTCTCGGCGATCGAAGCTAAGTTCGAAAGGTTCGGGCTTCACGAAACTTATGCCTGGAACATTCCGAAAGCATGAACTAATGTAGGAGCGTGATTAAGAGACCCCGGTCCTATACCCCCCAAAACCCCAAAACATTAGGATCCATATACAGAGCCCCAATAAAGACCCAAGGTTTCTTGATCAGGTTCCTTTGAACTCCTGCGTCGGGGCCAAACCTTGCAAGCAAATTCTTCAGCCGCTCTTCCTGGATACCTAGTCTGACAGAATTAGCAGACACCCTCTTCAAGTCTTCACTGTGCCGAATGAAGGTGAAAGGGCCCTTTCAAAAGTAACCCCTAATCCTCCCGAGTGCGAGCACCGAAATCCTATCAACCCCGTAGATAAGCGGCAATCGTGACAAAGCCTTTGTCCCTTCGTGTGGGTGGATCTATCTGCTTGGAGGGCTGCCGCCAACTCATCGGAGCAAGCAGGAGCCACTGCAAAGCGAAAAGTGTCCTGAGTTTGGGCTGCTGATTCCGTCGCTACCTCTGCCTTCCGAAACCCCGAAACCTGGGCCTGTGACTATCTGTAACCTTTGACTTCGTCGACTAGCCGCGTGAAAACAAGAACCCTAAACCCTAAAGACCCCTAAGGTTCTCCCATGCTGTTTCCGTCAACTGAGGCTTCCTGACAGAGGAGTTTGTCTTCAGCCCATACGACGCCAGAAATGACACCAAGCAGGTGCAGCACTAGCGGAGGTAAAGAAAGTGTATGCGAAGCAAAACTGTGGCATTTCCGACCTTGAGTTCTGGATTTGTTAGGATGACAAGGCTCTGTATGTTGTCAGTAGATGCATATGCAGTCTTGAATGTTGTGTTCTCCTGCATGTTTTGAATGATCTTAATGCCTAAGTTTAAGTCCCATGTCCCGAACTGAGGTCTGTTCCCGAACTGAGGTCTGTTATGATTACTTCGGCACACTGGACCCTTCCGTGAGTCCGAGGTGCCTCCTTATGTGACGTCAGAGGCATACAAGTCTGCGCTTGTGTCCTTTTGCAGCACAGATGTTCCTTCGGGTTGGGGGTTTGTAGGGATTGGGATTGTATGATGGCCTTCTTGGCTTCCTCAGTGTGGTAAAGTCCTGATTAGCAAGGAAGAACAACGAATATTGAGCTACGGGATTAACAACTTCTGAATGAACGGTTGCAGAATCAGAGCTTCCAGCAATCTACTGATAAGTTGTGTCTCGCAGTCGTCGTTAAAGTACTTGCCAATGTCGACTGCCATCATCCTTGCTAGAGGCGGTGCTGTGCTAAGCCCTGGAATACGGATGATACTTGCAATCACTAGTCCTGTACTCGCGGCCAGAGCCGTTGTAAACGTACACCCTTGCAAGAACTCTTCAAGCCCATATACGACCCTAAAGTCCTCTAGATCAGTTAGCTTTGTTTGAAGAGGCTCCCGAATGTGGCCAAGGTACCACTTCGGCTCCCTCTGCCTTGGTTCCATCGCGAATGCCCGGCGCCTAAAGATCATGCGGCGAAAGTGCCAAGGAAGCTTCCGCTCCAGGTTTAGGACAAGAGGTCGGAGATCTGGGTTCAAGCAGGGGGTCTACGGCTTTGTTTGGGCGATCCTAAACTCCAGGCTTCCTAACCCTGAATTGCTGAGGGTCTCATCCCTGGAGTGAGCAAGTTAGAAGCCACCCCTCAGGTAGCACTGAAGCCTTTGCGGACGATCTTGCGTGTCTCGGAAGATGAGCAGTACCGAATCGGGGAAGGAATCTGGAATTGAGATCAGAGCTCAGAAGACTTGTTTCATGAGGAGGTAAAAGCAAGGGATGATGACTTCTTGCGGATTTACCGAGGCAGGCCCGGCACAGGGGAGTTTGCCAATGCCAAACGGCTGTAGCTTCAGACAGTTGCCTCCTGAAAAACGAGGGCGCTGTCCTCAATGTCTGGCTTGCCTGATACTGTAGAGTTGCTATTGGCCAAGGCAAACGATACTATGACATTATGCTGTAGTATACTCCATTTATTAAAATGTACCATAGTATGTTTTTGCATACTATCGTACCGAGGAATCGTCACAGCTCCGACGCGCTTCGGCTGCTGCTTGATTGCCTTCCAGGGGATGACTGCCGCTTGGCGATGCTGGCTTGTGGGAATGCTTGCAACCTTCCATATCCATCCCAGCCGCTTACAACACCACCAGGACTTCCAGGGGCGCTTGGCGGCTTATAGCAACATGGCAGAAGCATCGAAATCCGGAGTGGCGAGGTCTTCAGGGGGGATTTTCGATGTAGGGCGTTTCGGCCCTGTTTATGCACACTATTCTCTAATCCGGTCCACCAGAACGGTGTGAGAGTCGAAATCCCGAAGACAAGCCTACGAGGTGCCGGTTCCATAAGATAGACAGTGGCATATTAGCATCAGCACATAGCCCCTGAATAGCTCTAGGGCATTATGCAACAAAGACTCTTCCCTACTTAATTATTGCCCTCATGTTTGAAACTCAAACAAACCCCCGCTCAGCCTCAAACAACCCCCGCTCAGCCCTTTACCTGAAGCTAGTATAGGGATAGTTACCAATATTTTTCCTGAAGCTTCCTTATTCTATTGCCGCACAAACCCTACACCTTAAACTCGGCAACGCACCCTAAACCCAAAACGTACTCGAATCACCCAAGCCCTGTGTTATAATGAGGGAGGGGATCCCTGTGGTGGGCCGCTGTATCCATCCTTTGTATCCGTATTATGCGGGCCACTATTGAAGCACGAAGCACTATGTGGTATCAAGCTTTGAGAGTGGATGTCTTCGAGGAGAGGAGCGGAGAGGAGAGCCGAAAGGGTTGCTAGCACTTACGTTGTTGCACGTGTTGTTAAATAGTCTGTATCGATGTATGTGTATACACTGCACTGACCTATATTTCCCATCCATGCCCACCGCCATCCCCACCCCAACTATTACGGATGTCAGACGATGGTTAGGTGATGCGGCGTACCTCGCCATGGCTTTGGATGGCCATAGCTACTTCGAAGCCACGCAGGACCTGATGCTTTGAGGTGTCGGATTGCTTGGAGCACGAAAACGGCCTTGATCATTAGAATAGGGTTCGGGGTACAATATACTATATAATTGTAATAAGGAACCCCTAAACCCCTAAACCCTACGATCTCCGTTGCGCTGATGTCTCGACCCAGGATTCTCTGCAGATGCTCGGGGCCGAAGGGTAGCATGTCTGCGAGGGCTTTTGTTGCTGCTGTCCCCTGGATCTCCGAAGCTGCGACGCGCAAACCTTCAGCCTGAAATTCCGACGCAATGCTTCGCCGTGTGTATGGTGGGCCCTACATGTGAAAATGCGGCAGCCGCGATGAGGCAAAGTCCGACATTCCATGACCCGCACCAACTCCGCTTATGAATGCACTGAACTCCAAACCGCTCAGTGTGCTCCATGCAGATCCATCTTATTGCTTCTTGCTGATGTGGGAATTGCAGGAAGGGACGAGGTTTACACTTCGGGACGACAAGAAGTCGTATTGACGTGCTTTGCTTTCTCTTTTTTGTGGGCCTCGGGTATCTGGCTTGTGGTAGGCAAGACCCTCGAGTAGCTTGTGAAGAGTTTTTTTCGGAAGAGCTTTTTTTCATCAGATGCCGGACTTTCTGAGGCAGCTGGAAGCTGCATGGTTAGACAGCACGCTGTTGGAGGCGCATCTTGCGTTGACTCTTCTCAGAGCTGGGTCATCCTCTCCGCCAGATTAGCCGAAATCCCGGTCGAGAAACTATGTAGCGCTTATAGGTTTGTTGTTGAGAACCAAGTTTGAGAGATGCTGGCAGGCAGAAACGTGTTCGATTTAGAGTCCACAAATTTGTAGCATGCAGAGGCGAAAAGCCCAGGTTTTTGGAACGCCTTCTTCGTAAGATCAAGCTGCGTCCAAACCGCCAGCCAATCGAACAGCTCAATGCAAGCATTGCATCTTTTCGTTTCGTGACACTCATGAAAATCAATTTGCATGTATGTATGTATGTATGTATGTATGTATGTATGTATGTAAATATGTAAATATGTATGTATGTATATCTGTGTATGTCTGTATGTGTCTCTTATAGGCTTGCATGTAGTTATAGTGCATACAGCCATGTGTGAGAGCTGTCCATATTCCACTCTGCATTGCAATTCTTCTCCCAAGACCAGATTGAAATCTTTAACTCCATGTTATTCATGAAAATCTTCCCGCAGTCGCCAGCACGAGCTGCAGAAAGTAAGGCTCTAGGGCCTACGGCTTGAGCTTCAACAATGGGTCGAAAGCCTCGAACTTAAGGCTTTCTGCTATGGAAAAGGCTTTCTGCCAGGTTTGCTGGCAAGCAGATAGAGCTCAAGCTGTCCTCCATGCTAAAGCATGGCTCCTAAAGCCCAGACCCTTTCCCATTCTAGGTCCCACTCTTACTTGGAAGTGGTCATGTGTCTGCCCGTGTTGTCCCCAAACCCTGAAGCCCAGAATCTTTAAGTATGTTGTACGACGACGCCAGCACGCTGTAAATACCAATGTTTTTGGCAATGTCGCCATATACGACGGAGAGACGTCAAGTAAGAACGGCAGTAATAACAATTATAGAGCAGGACATAAAAGTAATGTACAGCATAATCGCGACAAGCTGAACAACAGAACTATACAGGGTAACTCATTCAATTAATTCAGGAAGAGAAAACGGCATCCAAAAAAAACAGGAAACAACAAAGATCACATGAAGAACATGGAGTCTAAATGCAATAGTGATGAGAAAGCTATGCAGCAGAATGATGCTATTTACCGTGTTTCTGCTTCCTTGTACAACATACTGTAAAATCAACGCAACACCCCAAACACGCATGCGCAGCTAGCACGTCCAAAACTCGAGTCTTCAAGGACATGCCGTCAACAAACCTAAGGAGAACATTGTTTCGGGTAGCAGGCGTGCCTTAGTGCGGGTTCACAAAAAAGGCGTGGCACTTTCGTCGGCGTGAATGCTTTTCCGAGGGTCCCAGAATCCCACCGTGGGCATATGTACGATGCTGCTGGAAACATGCATAGATAGAAAGGCACTGTGCGTGCATGTGAGCATGTAGTTTTTTTTTCCCTTCTGGTAAGTTAAGGCAGCGTGTGTATGTTACAGCCAGTTGTTATGAGCCTTACTTAAGAGACTTGGGAGCCTTGCACCGAAATGCAGGGTAGTACAGAAGCGACGAACCGGAACCCCTTCCCCCCCCTTCCCCATTTCGGCCCCAAGACCCTTGTCGGCTCCTTTGCCAGTTTTGGCAGCATTTGGGGTTTTTCTCGTTTTGGCTTAATCAGTTTTCATGCTTGGGCAGGTACAACTCTTGGGTACAGTGGCTTCCGCGTCGCTGGTAGCTGTCATCGTGCGGATCATGGCAAGGCTGGGCATGGACTGGGATCTCCGACGTGACAGGGGAAAGCGCTTATATACGCGAGTTCAGTCTTTCTGTGTTTAGGGTCCATCTTGATACAATTAGTCTAAACGAAAAGCGGCATGTAAGGAGAGGCTATGATATGACGACGGTCGAAGGCCAAAGAAGATGATGAACGCAGTTGTTCTGCTAATCTGAGCTTGGTTATGCCATGCTCTGTGGGAACTGGTTTTCATTCCATTTTTACTTATGAATAAACCCAAAGGGGTTATACTACAGACATGTAGTTTCATGTCGGCTCTTAGGGCGCCGGTATTTGATGGAAGTGCATGATACGGCAAGAACTACACATAAACAGACGCGGCTCCTGTGAGCTTGAAGCGAACCCAGCTATCTCCGGAGTGTTTGGGCGGGCTTTACCCAGAAGTCTAGCTGTGTTTCCTGTTTTGGATCTTTACAAGCAGTTCGGCTTCGAAGGCCTCATGGTACCATCCCAGGTCCATGTGGACGTTCAGCAACGTTGGAAGTGATCTCGTCAGCATTGGTTGTTGCAGCTCATGACGCATAGACTCTGCAGAGATGCGCAGTCCGGAAGCTTCTTCGAGCATTTGAGGCGAGCTGTACGTGGAGGACGACGGCGCTGTTGCCAGGACCCCAGCTTTTCGCGGATAACATGATATCCTAGACACTCGCAGTCGCCCGTATGATGGGTTGCTCTATTCTGGGTTTACAGGGAGCAGCAACCTACTGCATAGCAAACCGTAAGCCGTAAACTCTATAATCCCTTAAGCCCTAAACCCCTAATCATAGGCGGTCGGGGTGTGCCTTGTACCGAGGCCTTTGCGGCCTTCATCGTTGCTTTGCTGTGTTCCTGGTGTTTCATGGAAAGCTTCTTGGCTGAAAGTTTTACGAACATCAATAGGCCAACGTGCCATGGAGCCACGAGGCTTGCACTGACTTTTCGACTTGTGGGCGAGTGTATACCATAAGTGGCCTGGCATGAGATGTGCTTCCAGCATTCCCGACAGAGAGACACGCGGAACTGAGAAAGTCAATGCAGTTTGCTTATGTGCAAGCGCAGAACCTGCAGCAACTGGACCGACTTTGGGCGGGCTTTGCTGTCATCATGTTTTACACATTGCGCTTAGGTGTCGGCTTTGTAGCAGATGCCCTGATCTTCAGCCGCTGGGCCAAGCTTGAAATTGTAGAAGGTCTTACTCGTGGTGCCGTCACTCTTGTCCTGAGTTTTTATGAGCAGCTTATGTGATGCGTTGTCGCCGCAGTCTTCACTACTACCTTGGTCGCTACAGCAGACGTTCTTCGGAGAATTGGAATCAGTTCTTTACCCGCTTCTGATTCAGGCCATGAAACACCACAAGGCTGGGTCTAGGTTTAGCGGGTAAGCGAAGACATAAAAGGCAACTGTGCCTATGATGGCCCTACTACGGTATATACTGGAGAAACTGCACGAGGAATCCTTGTTGCATCGCTTGGGGCCAGAATACCCTGAAGGTACAGTCAACAAGAACCAAGACGACAAGCGAAACCGTCACAACTGTCGTTCACCACATGCCACGTCAAGATCCCGTAACTTTGGGCTTCTCACCATCATCGCCGCCATGTGAGAAAACGTGGCAACGGTTTCATACATGGCACATGGTGTGACTTGAGAAGGACCCTAAGCTACTGTCTTCAAAGTACCCCATAATCTATTCGGCAGAGAAGCCGTTCT